GTGCAAACAGACTTAATATTAACTCAAAGCAGCTGGTAAGCAATAACCTAAAATAAGCTAAATATAAAAACCCTAGAACAAGAACAGGAACCTAGAAACCTGAAGACCTGACATGAATCTGTAAACCCGGGAACAAAGCAGGCGATCGAGCGAGGAACGAGTGTAAACACACACAGGAGGTGATGAAGGGAAACACACGGGAAACACACGGGAAACAGCTGATTAGAATAAACATAATGACGCCACAGGGGAGTGAAACTAAACACCACGAACACGGGACACCAGGCCTCTTCAAAATAAAACGGGAAACATAATGAGATACAGACATGACAACCTAAGACACGCAGACATGAAACACGTCTAAGAAACAATGACCCGTAACAGCAACCTCAGCATAATAGAAATTAACTTAAACATAAACCATAAACATCAAAATATGTAAAAACTCAAAACGCTGAGTCAGATGAAGCAGGATCGTTAGGAGACGTGAACCCATCTCTGTCCCTCCGCTCTCGACATTAGAAACTGACTAATGTGTCAATATTTGTAAATGAATAATCACGTGTTTGGGTGTTTTAGGCTAAACTGCATCAGTCAGTTACATATTTATAAAGTTATTAGAAGTTTATATCATTTGTTTTAATGTACTTTTAAGGTGCGAGCGTATGAGGACTGATTCTCTGTTTACTTTTATTTCCAGCTGTAGTTTTGTTTGCCGCCTGGTTTACTGCTGTGACTCTAAACTGATGCCACCAGTGAAACCTATATTACGCAGCAATAACATCTGGTAGTTATTAATTATTAACTCTACCACATATATGGAGTATGTGCGCCTTCAGAGCGTGCTAATCAGCCATGCATCAAACATAGTTTTAGCACAAAAACCACTGAAATCAATAAACACACATTTATTGTATTATTTACCATAATAGTGTAATTACACCAGGCATTATTAATTATTAGTTTATTGTTTGTAAATAGTAAAATATGAACATGGTGAATTTGAATTAATTATCAGTTCATGTATAATAGTTATTATAAATTGAGCTGCTAACAAGGCGTGAGTGGGTCCCTATGCATCATATCAGTGCTAATGCCGTCAAATGATGGGGGTCTTAACGCGTACAAATCACAGTGTACATGAGCCAAATTATAGCATATGGATAGTGTAATTTAGTCTGCAATTGATCCCTGGAAAATGTCTGTCACTATCTGAGCGTGCAGCACAAGCACGCATTAAATATCCAAATTGGAAAAGAGGACTGAAATTAGATGGCTATATTGGCGCCTGCAAAGAAAATAATCCCATTGTGGGCATAATTCACTGCGCTGATCCAAATCTCCTTGTCATGGTTGCTATATTCCAAAACAATGCTGGACAGGAAGCATCGCCATGATGAATTGTTGCACCTTCAAGTACATTAGTGCATGAAATGCCTCGTATTCGTTTCCTTTTGTAAATCCTAATCCTCCCCGTGCCTTTCAGCAGCACAAAGACGGCCTGTTTTGTCCATAAAGATGCTTCAAAGCCTCAAATTTCTGTTATAATTTTACACTCTTGTAATGTGTGAAGAACTTAAATGTGGCCTTATCTGGCATTTCATGGCGTAAAGAGATTTTTGTGGGATTCATATAAAAATGCTCCATCAGTGATAACGATGCATAATTCAAGGACAAAGCCTTGTTATTACCATTCATTATTCGTGTTAATTTATTGCTCTGCTCAACATTTGCACAGCAATTTTTACATATAATCCTCCTCCATGCAAACCAGTGCCACCCTAATTAACCCTTTATTATGTGGCTCCCCGGCGCCAGCTTTGGTGGGTCAGTGCAGTCAAATAGTTTGAGGAGAGAAAGTTTCCTTTCAATCAGCAGTTATTATTAAACTCGGTCATTCACAGGAGCCACCTGTGTTTACATATATGTGGGGAAGAACAATGTTGGCTGCATTCATGTTGGATTCAATGCATCATGAAGTTTAGCTGCTTTTAAGAAAAGTGCATGCATTTATTGTCAGTCCCAACGGGATAAAACTCTGAGGCTTTATTTCTGTTTTTATTTATTTCTCATTTGGAGAGGCTGCCGGCTGCTTTGGAATCAATGTAAATCATTTTTTAAACACTATTTGAAATACTTTCTAAGAACCTCGTCACCTGTTGGTCCCTTTCAAGCCTCACTGAGCACTAGACTTTGCTCTGGAAATAGTATTTAACAGCGGTTACATCATTAGTTTGTAATGGACTGCATTTATACAGCTTTGTAGTCATATCGATCACTTAAAGTGCTCTGCACTATAAACCACATGCACATTTAAACAGCTCTTTTCTGAAACCGCACGTGTAGTCCTCACTCTGTGCTCACAGACACAGATTGAACGTTCATGTGAACGTTTGTCAGCCCTTCGCTGCGTTCCTTCATTGTGACCGATTGTGTCAAACTCCTCTGCGTAAGCTGTTCTAGCGTCCTGTATGCTACGCTGTGGATTATGTATGATGTTGTTTTCTGTTTCCGCCCAGCAGGGGGGCTGAACAGAAAACAGTCAGGCTGCTGGACGCTGGACGTGTCCTTGATGTTTTTCTCTGTGTTTAATTGCAGAAAGGCTGTGAGGCACACTGCTCAGATGACCAGTTTCGCTGTCACAACAACCTGTGCATCTCGATGAAGTGGCTGTGTGACGGACAGGAAGATTGCAAGATGGGTGAAGATGAAAAAAACTGCCAGGAAACAGGTGAAGAAACCTCCGACCGCACACTGAACCACAGAGCCGTCCTCCTTTGTGCAACCTTTGTTGTCCACAACATTGTTTGTATTGCAAGCGTGAAGAATTAAATTTATAGTGATTATTCTTTTGTAGGTCAGAGAAACATTTTCTTTTTGTCCACTGTGAGCTCAGCGTGTACTCTGTGTGAGGTCACTGCTGTCTCCGACCAACCACAGTCTCACAGATCCACCTGTGACAAACTCTGAGTCATTCTCAGAGCATCTCCCTGTAACACTCTTCTCTTCTGCAGTTGTGCCGTCCTGCTCGGTCAACGAGTACGTGTGCACCAGCGGCGGCTGCGTGTCGGCCAGCCTGCGCTGTGACGGACACGACAACTGCCTGGACGGCTCGGATGAGGTCAGAGAATCCCCCTTAAACTGTAGTAACATAGTGTTGCAGTACTAAGCAATCAGAAAGCTGCTTTTCATGCATGGGGACCAATCGGTGCTTTTTCTAGACACGATGGTTTGTGTTTGTGTGAAATGAGGTCAACTCATCTTAGAACAAAGCAGAACGATGGTTTAGCTGAAGTGTTCACAAACATTTGAAAAATGTGCTGTTTCAGCTTTACTGAAGCATTTTTCTGCCATCAAATTAAAAAACAAAACGCATTAGACTCTGTTTTAAATGTTAATTGTACAGTTTCCCAGTTTGTGGCCGTGAAGATGAAAATAAACAAGCAGAGAAAAGGAGTGAATGGTGTCTTCATGAGTTATGCAACAGAGAGAGACTAAAACTGTATTTTTATGTGTTTTAACTCTCTTACTTCTTTGTTCTGGAGTAAAATGATTGAAGCCTTTAATATATCCGTCTGTGTTATTGTGCAGTCTGCAGTCAGATGACATAAACGCTCTCTGAGGCTCATTGAGGAGCACGTATTAAGAGATATGATTCTATGCAGAGTTGTGCATATGTTGGGTCGAGGTCCTCGAGATACAAAGGCTCCCAAACTAAAAACATTTAGCATCTTTTGTGCTCGCGTGGCTGCGGGGACATAAACCTTCATGGTTCTGCAGTGCTGGTCTTTAATATGTGGAGACCTTTGTGCCGTCTTTATGTTGATGAGAACGCCTGCTGGCTGCGCCTGCGTCTCTGCTAACAGATCGGCTGTGTGAAGGAGTGCAGAGAAGACGAGTTCCTGTGTCTGAATCGGGCCCACTGCATCCCTCGGCGCTGGCGCTGCGACGACGTGCTGGACTGCATGGACCACAGCGATGAAGAAAACTGCGGCCAGGGTAGGTGTCAGCGTGATGTCTGAAGGTAAAAAAAGTTTCATTTGTATAACTGAACAGAGAATTGATTTGAGCGGCTGCACAGCATTTAACGATAAAAGGGCCGAAACAGCAGAGAGGAAGACGACTCTGAGACGGGAGGAGAGACAGGAATAGAAGCAGGTTCTGCTGGTGTTGGTGGGAATGATCCGCATTGTCAGGATCATTATGTAAAAGCATCTGTTACTAGAATCCTGTAATGGGCCATTTGTGACTCCTGTTCTCCTTTGAATGCACTGTTTTTACTGTTGGCGTGTTCGCGGCGCTAAAAGTCTCGTTGCACTCTTCGATTGCAGCAGCCTTCTTCTGCCGAGCTGATGAATTCATTTGCAACAACACCTTATGCAAACTCCACACGTGGGTGTGCGACGGCAAGGATGATTGTGGAGATAACTCTGACGAGGACGCAGACATGTGTGGTGGGTTGAGATTGTCACTCACAAGAATTTCCTTTGAAGCGGACGATGCATATTTTATAGACCTCTGCTTTTCGATCTCCCGAGAGGGAAAGTTTCATTGTCTTTTCATAAAAGATTTGATGCACTTATAAATTTATATATAGTTCCATTGAAGGACATCTCCATTAACCGTTTGTGTCTTTTGTCCCCCAGCGAAGCTTCCCTGCCCCCCCACGAGGCCGTTCCGCTGTCGAAACGATCACGTGTGTCTGCGCACGGACCAGGTCTGCAACAAAGTGGATGACTGCGGCGACAACTCGGATGAAGAAGAGTGTGGTGAGCGCAAACCGCACCAGCACGGGTCTAATGATGCCTCGAGCGGTATTAGTGTGAAAGTTCAACGACGCTTTATTCATCAAATTAAGTGCAGAAGGTTAAAAGCGCCCCTGATGCAGCCGTCCTTGAAGCACAAGTATTGTTTTGTTCTGTGAGGATGATAATTGGAGTTTGGAGAAAAAGAAGCACCAACAAGGAAGCGTCTGTTTAGTTGTTGAATGACAGAGATTTCTTTTTCTCTCTTACGTTGTTTAACTAAAATAACTGAACGTTGAAAATTCTGCAGAGCAGGAGGCTTGTTGGTGTGAGGCTGTGTGCTTGTGCAGTGCAAACCTGTAAACACAGGTTTTGAACTTTTGCTCGAGTACCAGGAGTCTAAATGTGCTGCAGATGAATCTGAAAGGCAGAAAAAGTACTGTGACTGCATGTTAAACGGGAGCCACGTTTGGTGCACTTAACACAGTTTACACTTTATTCCTCCAGATTTTTGTGGTGAAAGTGAAAATGCTTTTCAAACACACGAGCGCTCCCAGCCTGTTTCCTCCACACAGCTTTGTGGGAATAATCACAGAGAGGAAGGAGAGGACGCATCTCTGCTCTCCTCCATCGCTCTCATTTTCTCTCCCTCTCTGCTTCCATCGATACACTGATCCATCTCC